CGCGGCCCTGTTGGCTTTGCGGTGGCAAAGCAGGAAAGGAAATGAGTTTGTTTATGTAAATTTCGGATTTGATGAACAAAAATGAACTCAGAAATTATTTATAATTCATGCATATTGTCATGACCTCTTACAATGCTTTTTCTAGCAAGTTGCGCTGCCCAAAGTCTCAAGCGGAATGAGTTAACCCGCGTGTGCCTGGGAAGGTAGGTGGCCTGAGGTTTTCAGACTGTTATTGCTCTTCAGCAGTCCGAGGTTTTAAAACTGTGTTGCTCTCAGAAGGCTGCTCCAGCTTTTTGTGCTTGGCTGTTGTGAACTTCTACCGGGTTAAACTGAGCTGCTGCCTAACCTGCTCTTCTGGATTTTTGACCAGCGTGACGCTTGCCTTTGGTAGCACGTGGTGTCCTGCCACACTCTCTGTTTAGCTGTTCTCCCACCATGGCTCTGGTAAAGCTTCTTTGGGAACCAGCAGGCCCCTAAAATAGCTTTTGCTTAGGAATATTATGACTTTTTTTTTCTCCCTCTTTTCGTGGTGGTGGTTTTAATGGTTTCTATCCTTGTGATGCCATGAGGGCAGGTGGCTGTGCAGGGCAGAGGGGCGCTGGGCACCCACCGAGCTACCCTGCCCGACATCAAGAACTGCTCCCCATCCTGGAGGTGGATGGGGAGGGATGAGTAAGACCCCCTTTGGGAGCCTCATGAATCAGAGGGTGTGAATAACTTGTCTCCTCCTAATATATGCATGTGAATGTACACTATAAAAATATATTTTGTAATAATATTCATAATCTATAAATATGTATACATAGCAGCTGGGATGGAGTCTCTGTGACACGGTTCCAGCCACTGCTTCCTTGAGGATCTGCCCAAGTATGACAAAAGATGTGAGGGCTGCTGGCTAAGACGCACGTGTGACAAGGTAAGTCACTGCATGATGCTACACAGCTTGCATGCTGTTCCTTAGCCTTGTTGCTTAAACCACAGAAGAAGGTATACACTAATGAGAATTGTAGTTGTTAAATACGTGGCTCAAGGGCTTGGACTGTTTTTCTTCATTTTTATTTCTTCTGTTTTGTGCCTGAGTCGTTACAGTTTGTCTGTAGTGTAGTGAGGGAATACTCTATTAAATACCAGGTGTTACAGTCTTTATGATTACACTGGTTTTGAGTTTTCTTTTTAAATGGTAGCCAGATTTCTTAATTCTGAAAGTGAAAAAAAAAATAATGATATTTAAAGCAGCTGTGAGATTTACCACTGCCTAGCTTTGGAAACTGTTTGAACAATATTTGAACAAAAAGGTATGTCTCCCAAATACTTTGCTAAATTAAAGAACTGATGGGAAAACTGGGAGAATAGCTTTTTTTATTTTGAGGTGACAGAGTTTTTGAAGTGAAATACATTTTTGTTTTTGAATACTCTTCCCAAATAAAATCAAGCTGATACCAGACTTGCCTATTTTCTGACGTTTGGTTTGTGGTAACGGAAATAACTATAATACCAAAATCCCTTTCTTGGGCTTTCCCCTCTGCTGTCTCTTTCTCGTCCCAAGATGCCCGGATGAATCCCCTCCCTGCTGGAGTTGACTCCTGCGTTTGCGCTCTGGTCGCTTACCAGGATTAGCACGTGCCAGGTCGTAGCCCTGCTCAGGGGCCAGGTCCGTGGGATGACTGTGCAACTCCAGTCAGGTAAACTGGGATTTTGTACGTTGGAAAAGGTGGCTGTTGTGAGAGCTGTACAGTGATAATGCACTTGATAAACTTGGACCTCAAAAATTAAACAAAAGTTCATGATATAAAGACAGTATTTTTTTCTCTCTTTTTTTTTTTTTCTTTCAAAGTAAGCAAAACCTGAACAGGACTGGTCCTTAAAGCCTTTTTTTTAATTCCCCTGAAAAAAGTCATGTTAAGGGGCAAGACAGCTTGCACATCATTAAGTAGGGAAAACCACAGTTTCAAGAGAAAAGCAAGCTTGTCTGAACAAAAAAATATATGAAGTTAAAAGATTAAAAATCATATAAAATGCTGAAGTCTTGTCTGAACAGCACAAATAGAGGATGATATCTCTGTGTGTAATATTCTGTTACGTGCAATGTTTTAAGAGGCGGGAAAGCTGTGGAGCGCTCCGTAGGGTGCTGGAAGGTGAGGGGCGTGATGAAGGAATGGGGAGCAGCCTGGAGGACTCCTGGAGGAAAGATGTTTGTGGTTGAATACGATGTAGCCATCCAAGGCCACGTTCCATGTGAAACACGTGGGTTTTAACTGTTATTAAAATAATTACTCGAGTACATGGAGTTTCTGGTACAAGATGGCATATGGGAACGTGCTGAACCAAATTAATCAAAACTGTTCGGAGGCTGTTGGGGGAGCTATGAAGGGAAATACTGATAAGATCCTCAACAGCAACATTGTTCTGCTGGCAGACTTGTCTGTGCTCAGACCGATTCTTTGAAACAAAAATCAAATATTTCTTTGTGTGAAGCCTTTAATTTGTAGGGCAGGCCTAACACTGTATAGACAATACTGGCTTTTTTAGTAGGATAAAAACGTGTCAGGAAGTGACAAATACTGTGTGCCGTTGGCCTGCAGCTGGCTCTCTCCGGGCAGCGGCAGGCGGATATTGGGCAAGCGGCGCCGTTACCGCCCCGCGCTGTGCCGGGCCTCGGAGAGGACCCGGACCCCTGCAGGAGGGCGCCGGGCTCCGGCGGCTCCTGCGGCGCTTTGCCCTTCGCGCAGGGAGCTGAAGGTGCTTCACACCACCCGATTTTAGTTTCTTGACACATGTGCGTTCGGGGTCCCAGTAGAGTTCCAAAGGTGTGAGGGAACTGATTTAATGAGACTTGGTGCTTTTAGAACAAAAAGAGCTACTTAAAAATTAGTGTAATCCATTCATTATGGATTCTTAAATTGCTGTTGTGTTAAGTGAAGAAGGGCATCGTATCATCAATGTTGAGTGCAATCAGTTCTCAATTACGGACAGTAGCAGGGTGGAGTAAAATGGTTGCAGTAAGGCTATAGGCAATGCAGAGTGTGTTTGAATGTTGTTCTAAGGAGGTGCAGTGAGGGAGTCCTGGTGAAGAGAAGGGCAAAGCTCGAGTCCTGGTGTCGGTGAGAGGAGCTGTCGCGGCCTCGTGGCGCCCTGCTCTGTGAGTGCAGCTGCTGTGTCCGCTCGTGGGAGGCAGGCGCCTCCGCAGCCCGGATAACCCAGGGCTGGCAGGAATGTCAGGACAGCACAGAGGGCATTTTGAGGATGGTCTGCTTGTGTCATCCAGCGGTTGCGTTTTGTGACAACTTACACTAGCTCATTTTCGCAGACAGACGCTGCCTTGTCATTGCATGTCTTGCATAGAGCTTAGCACAGCAAGCTCCCTGGAGTGGATCAGCAACCCCTCCAAAGGCCTCTGAAGAGCTGCCTGAAAGGTGCTTTCTGCCGGAGCCTGTGGTGCAGTGAGTCGCGCAGGTTTGTCACAGCAGTCCTCCCCTCCCCGTGGAAGACGCAAGGTTGCAGTGGAGCAACTGCATTCTTGTCCTGACCGTCACAGTTGTTGTGTTGGGCAACTGTTCGGTAGCCGTAGGGGCTTTTCCAGGCGCTCTTCAGTCACACGTTCACATGTGGTTTGCAGTGAGCTGGCGATGCCTGGAAGCGCAGCACAGCGTCGCCTCCCTTTACTGCCTGTGTCTCTTGTGCCAAGCAGATCTCACTGGGGACTGCTCTGGAAATCCTTTTGCTCTTGTGCTCCCCAGGCATGTCAGTTTTCAAAAGACTATTTTTATCTTTCACCTGGAAAGGAAAACATGATTGTATTTTTGACCAAGGTTTGCATTTGTGAGCTTACCACCATCCTACTCATGGAAAATGTGAAGGAAGGAAGACCATTAATATTAAAATAGATTTTTTTCTCTTCTAACTAGAAGATTTTGTTCATTTGTAAGAGTATGAGTAATCAGAAAATGCTTTTTGAAAACGTGTCTTACATTCATGCTTGAGCCACCCAGGCTTGAGTTTCACTGCAGCAAGAGCAATCAAGTTCTTCCTTTCTTTAATTCATAACCTTCTGAGCTTCTTTTCTCTCTACAAGCAAACATTAGCACCAAACCAAAAATCCAGTGACCCAAATACCCACATTTTTCTTGTGTCACCAAAAAAAAAAGTCACTATTGCCATTTTGTCCTGTACAAAGCATTTTTCTCTTTGATATTTAAAAAGATAAAGTATAATCTTGGGCAGTAGTGAGGGAATGGCATAATGCTAGTTTGGCCCGTATCTGCTTATTTAACAGGTTGTAATGTTCTAAATTAATGGCATCTGAGAGAGGAGGAAATTGCATTAATTCTTCTTGGAAACACTCTTCATTATTGTGCTGTGCCACAGAGAGTGGATTACAATAATAAACTTCAGTTTTGGATCTTTGACAAAATCACTGCCTACTGCCTTCCCAAAAGATGTTCACATGGATTTACCAATTTTTATTCCTATTCTGTTTCTTTTCAGTTACCAAAATATGTGTAGTCTTCCTGTCTATTGCTTGGAGCTTATCTGGCATTTCTGAAAATTCAGAAGTCCCATGGCATCATCCCATAGATGAGACCTAGGGATTGCATAGGGAATCAGTCCTTCCAAAACAGCTGAGAAGTAACAAATTGGAGGTCCTGTTTACCTTAGTGTGCCAGTGGTTCAGGAGCTGGTAGGTCGTGGATTGATTGTCCATGTTTCAGAGATGAATGAAAGTGAAATGGGGTAAAGCTAAAGCAAACGTGAACAAAACCATTTCAAAGGGGATCTGCTGCTCATGGGTTCATGGCATAGAATGAATCCTAGTAGCTGTGTATTAGTTATGAAGTATGGCATTAGTAGGAAGGCACGTATTGTATTGCATATGTAAGTCGCAAGGTGGTGCTGTTCAGCAAAGGTGAAATATGTCAGAGTATTTCCAAGGAAAAAAAAGGCTTCTACCATTGTACAAATGGAGTGGCTTCTGAGTGCAAATATGCATGCCTTTGCACATGCACAGGATTTCAGACAGGGCCAGAACAATTCATCTGTCTTTTATTCCAAGGCTGATAAGCCAGGTACTGTGTTTTTCTTCTATTTTATCTGTGTAGCTTGTATGCATTCCACTTCAACACAAACGTTTCAAATTAGCACCAAGCAAATGTTAAGAAAGCTTTGCATATGGTGTGGAAAAGAAGCAAATTACCAAGGAACAAGAAGTTTTAAGCTTATCAAGCATGCCCATAAACAGGCAGTGCTTAAATGGTGTGGAAAATAATCTTTTGAATTTCAATTAATACATGTCAGGAATTGGACTCGCTGTTTTGTTCTCAGTGAATTGATCTTTCTTAATTTCTTAATGTTATGTTCCCAAGCAAATATCCAAGAGAGTAAGAGCTAACCTGATTAGTGAAGTAAACTGTTGCATTATTGTTAAATTATGCTATGAGCATGCGCCTTTGTCAGAATGGTGTTTTATCACAGCCATAATGGTCTAAGGACGAAGGTGATATGTGGCTGGCTGGAGGAAGCAATATATCTTCTATAACACAGCTGATATGGTAGGAGAAAACGGCCAAAATTTCAGGCCTTTCAAGGACACCTTCATATTTTCAGGGTTGCGCACCCAAAAGCATGTCTAATTTTTTCTGAAGTTGTATCAGTTACTCTAATAATTGGTACCAGCAAAAAAACCCTACCTCCTGCTTTGTTAGTGTTAGTATTTCTTTCTCAAAGCAAAGAGGGAATCTTGAGTTCCAGTGGACCTGCTAACTGAAAGACCACTCCGGGTTGAATTAATTCAATTAAAAATTTCCAAAATAGCATCTGGATTTCAGACATCCTCATCTTTTGTAAATTACCATTGTAAAATGTCATTGTCATAAATCCTTTATCTTTTGTATTGCTTTATCAATAAATAGCTGCTGAGTAAAGATGAGTTTATAGTTGATGGATGTGACTTCTTTAAAATGGCTTGAATTATCACTGCTTGGTGACAAAATTTTTAGTGCATGTGTGCTGCCCTCCTGGGTCAGTGGATATATACATATATATATATATATATATAATTTTCAGATGCCAACACAAAAACCAATGCTATTTTGTGAAATCTGAATGTTCAGTCATGTACCCCTGGGTTATCTACACATGGAAAAGACTGTGGAAAAATGACTGCCTATTTTTGGTTTTGGGTTAGTTAATAGTCTAGATCTTGCATGTCATGATTGATATGATCTTTCAACTGTTTTCTTGGGTACATGAGTAGTGTGACTGCAATAAGGTCAGAACAATCACTCTATGATTAAGCAAGATTTACCAATGTCTATATGTAGTTGTATGGTGGCATATCTTTTCTCAAATGCTCAAAGATAAAACCCCTTTTCCTTCATAGTTCAGAAGAAAATCATAGTTACTTTTTATATATTAAAATATAATACAAAAACAGTGTGCATAGTGGTCTCATTCCCTATTCTTCAGCATTCATTTTTCCTATTTTCTCATTTTAAAAAGTTACCAAATTGTTCTCAGTTGCATTGGATTGATCCCTACTTGTATTAAGTAGTTGTTAAATATAAGTGTAGATTGTATTTAGAAAAGGAAGTGTTCCCTACATCGTTAGATGAGTACAGTTTTTAAAAAACTTATTATGAAATGTTATGACAGACTGAAGGGAGGGGAGGGTGTGGAAGTGTCCTTATATCACACTGGTTCTCTTAGTGTCTTAATGAGAACATGACTGTCCTTTTCCGAGCAATGCAATAAATGCTTGTCTCACTGCAAATAATTTCCCCTTGTATTCAACATTTTTCTTTCCTCCTGTTTTTCATGTGCATCGGCATTGGATCAACCTGAATGATTTCACTTTTCCAAGATTGTATTTTTCTCCCTGTATCTCTTTTCCAATATTTTATTTCTCACTGTATCCCCTGATCAGAGGCAATTTCCTTGAATTCTATCATTACTGCTCCTTTCTTATCACAGGCTTTGCACATAATATTTCTTATCATTTAAGCTTACTCCACTTACCACTAAAATGAGCTAGAACCTTTTAACTGCTTTACATCTGATCCCAGTTCAGCCATATATCTACACGTGTCCCATTCATTTGTAGAATGCACTTGAACTCCAAAACCACTTATGTTTATCTGTGGTATTTATACAGATACTTTGCATTTGATTAATCATAGCTATATTCAACAGTTTGCAGGATTTGGAATCAGTTAAAAGAGTATTAATACATTGTACAACATGCTGTATAATATATTGACTTTGTTTTTTTCTGACTTTGATGCAGTTTGGTGTCATGTTTTTGGCATGGAGATTTGTTCTTGGTGAACTGATCTGTAGTTCTCCAGATGTCCTGTGTCATTGTGCTTGTGTACTCTGTGCATAAAGCTAAAAATCACATGGATTGGATTTTTGGCAGGTTTTGTTAGTGGAGTATTTTAACTACTAGTTTCTGTAAAACAAAGTATCAACTTTTTTTTTTCAACATTTCAGGCTTATCACGCTTATTCCATTAGCATGAATAATAGCTTCCCCCAGTTAAAATAGTCTGTATTATTTCAAAAAAGGGAAGAACTTTTTATTATTATTGCCCTAGACTAAGTAACATTTTCCTTTTTCCTCCTTTTTTTTGAATAGAAAAAGAGATGTTAATCGCATCAGCAGCTCATTACTGGATGTGTTTGTCATAATGGGCAGTGCTAATGCCAAAGCTGCTCTTTCACCAGATAGCAGCAAAAAGGCTAAGAATATGAGTACAGGTCAGAGAGACTCCAAGCAAGTTCATGAATTGTGTGGCCTCTCTGCTGAAATCAGGGAGCCTGCAAGCAGATCTCCAGAAGCTGGCAGCAGTAACGAGAATATTGAGAGTATTTTCTATAAGTTTGTGATTCTGCATGCTGAGAATGATGTAGATGAAGCCATCCGGATCCAGAACCTGCTGCAGAATAAATTTTGTATTAAACCTGGAATAATCTTTGCTGAAATGCCTTGTGGTAAGCATATTCTGGAAAATTTAAGTGATGCTGTGAATGGCTCAGCTTGGACTATTATACTGCTGACAGAAAGTTTTCTGAAGGGTCCTTGGTGTGAGTTTCAGTCTTACACCTGCCTTGCCAATGCTCTTAACAAAGAGCATAAGTACAACACCGTGATACCTGTGAGGCCGCTGAATAACCCGCTTCCCCGGAAGAAGACTCCTTTTGCCCTGCAGGCTATTAACGCCCTGGAAGAAGACAGTCCTGCGTTTGCAAACCAAGTGGAGAGAATTTTCCAGGAGTCTATATACAGGCAACAGCAAGAGATATGGAGGAGGGAAAGAATGAAACTAGAGCACTTATGATGGTGGAAAGAACCTATGTAAAGACAGGTGATATTAGAGTAAAGCAGAAGTGATATATTTGCTTTGACTTTAATAAGGAAGAGAAAGTCTTCTTTTGACAAAACTACTGATGAAGTTCTCAGAGATGGCATGTTAATTAAGTACTGGGGAACTTGTGCTGCATGTCAAAACACAACTGTCATGGTATCTACTTAGAGGCACGAGATGCTGTTTCCCACCACCCTTACCTGGTTTTGTCTTTATTTTTTGAGCTCTGCCAGACATGTACAGTCTTCTGTCAACATGGCACAGCTCTCCACATCTTGTGGCTGATGCTAAAACATGTAAAGTAAATGGGGAATACTTGTTATTGCTATGAATTCAATATGTTAGAGTACTCTATGGAATATGCTGCTACTTTAAGTAATGGACACTTAAATATGCAGGTGTTTTTTGTTGCACTTTGTTTTTATATAGCAAACTTTTTGATGCATGCTGAATGTTTCGTTTTTTAATAAACACATTTTTGGCTGCTTTTGACTAAACTCGGTTTGGAACATTCTTTAAAGGAAAAAAGTTAATTAATGTGGGAGACTGTTTACCTCTTAAAGATAGGTGTTCTGAACTCAGGTTGTAAAAGGGAGAAGGCTACAAAAATCACATTATTTGGAATTACTTGCATTTTATGCACTTCAAATCCTAGTGCTTAAGTGTATTTGAACAGGTTTAGGATGGATCTTCACTGCTTCTTTTTCCTGCTGTACTTGATAGGACTACTGATGATGATTCAATAAGCCACTTACATGGGGCATAAGCATAACTTTGTATTGCTGGTGTGTAATGATCTTATTAAAATCGCCTCAAAACCTTTTTCTTTCCTGATGGAAATGAAATTAAAGCATCCTGCCAGTTTGTTATTTTCTGAGTGACGGAAAGGTGCCTATTCTGCGAGCGAGGCAGGATGTCAGCTCTGAGCCAAACAGTTTTTCTCCATGCCACAGCCACAGGCTGGTGAGTGGCACTTCAGCACCCACACCAAAGCAGATCCCGCACTGATGAGTTGCCCAATGCTATGGCTCTGCCTTCCTTCCTCCCTGTGCAATTTTGGATGCATCCTGGCTCTGTTCCCTATTTTGCAAATGGGCAGAATACAGACTATGTATCTCTACCTCAAAAAGGAGGCAGAAGGCGATGGGAAAGAGCGTGTGCAGCTGTGGGCTGCTTGGCACAGTTACCTTGCTAAACCCTTCAGAAAAGGGGGACAAGAGCCCTTGGACTTGGGAGGCACCTCAGGCGACAGGGCCTCCATTCCTGAGCTATCACATTGGGTTGTCACTGCTACTTATGTTTTCTACCTCTGTAAAACCATTTCTCCTGGCTGCTCCCAGAACACAGGGAAGCATCAGCTGCTATGCAGCGAGATGCCCATCTCGCAGGTAGTCTCCTACTGGGCATCTCTCAGGCAGTGTTTGGAAGTCCCCAGGTCGGTTGTGGTCACATATTGTTTTATTTCCATAGCTGCTACAGCCAAAAGGTGCTCCCACCACATGTTACCACTTGCCTGCGCTGCTGCGTGCTGTCTGCATAAGCAGTGCAGACAGTGATCTTGTGTGATGGTGCCTGCAAACAAAAACTTACTGTCTTGTTTTTGTGCAGAAGTTTGAACCTGGTCACTGTTGATTCTGTACTAGCCCCATTTGCAAAGACCTTTACCTTTCTTGATGCCTGCTTGGTACTTGCCATGGCTCAGCACCTGTCATCCTGCCAGGTTTTATCTGGATGCTCCCTGTGCTATCCAGCTGGCTCAAAAGTGCCTGAAATTAAGGGAAAGTCTGCCTGAAGTTGCAAGCTTCAATCATATACAACTCATATCATCCTTTTTTGGGCCACATCCTGCACCCATTGTGCTGGCTGTGGTCCTGCAACACAGCGCCGTGCCTCAAAGGGTGCATTGTGGTACCACGATAAAGGCAGGAAAACTATGTTCTGTGCTTATGTCATCCCACTGCAAGCTACCTGTGCTCTTGCACTTGCAGGTGGTCCTGCTCTATTCTGTCTTTGGTACCACGAAGGAAGAACAGCCACGAGCTCTGCGCCGTGCTGCAGCGCAACCGGAGCGCATGACACCGCGCTTAGAGCGGAACATCGGTTCTGCGGGAGAGCCGGCGCGCTGTGGCCGTGGCTGCGCGGGGA